ACCTGGGCACCACAACAGCCAATGTTGACGTGGTCCCGCCAGCTGAGGCGGTGAAGCTCGCCCTAGAACGAACACATTATTTGACCATTACTTCTCTTTAAGTTGCTGCCACGTAAAAGTTGGTATTGCAGATAAATAAAGAAATATCACCCCGTAATCCATGACCAGGCGAAGTTACATTGAAATCACATTGCGTTCAGACGCAAATCGCGATGCGGGAAAACCGATTCGAAACCACCTCTAGAAGTGGTTTGGGATCGAGGCGCTTTCAATGTGATTTCGGAGCGTTCAGATGGAGCCACTTGAAACCGGCTTCGGGGTAAACCACATGTAAAGAGCCTTGGGTGACTTCACTTAAACACGGCCTATGACATTGTCAATGGGGACAGGTTTTTCTTCCCATGTGTAATATCATCTCTTTTCCGGCTGCTACAGTATAACGAGTCGCCACTTCACACGGCAGCATCAGGAGGACAAGTTGGTGTTGCTGAACTCCTCCTGAAGGCTGGAGCACGGGTTGACAGTCGGGATGAGGTAAGGGTTCTTACTTGCTACAGGTGATGGACATGTATGTGTGGCTCAATAGAATCGGATCGGCAAGCTCCTGTAATATATAGGAATTAAATGACACATCAATCTTGACCTGCAGTAGTCTGATGATTTTTACCACTGGCATGGTCCCAGGATCCTATGTTTAATGCAACGTGTTTATAATATCAATCAAATGGAACAGCATATTTTTTTAATTTTCTCCTGACAGGAAACTGGGGAGAGAGCCTGCCAGTGACTTGATTCGCTGCTTAAAACCCTATCTAGACCGGGGGGGGGGGCTTAAAGTGCCCGAGGCAACTTTGATGTCACCTAGCGTCTGAACGGCTAAAGCTAGAACCGCCAAATTTGGTGACTTTTCCTAAAATATTGTTGGCAACAAATGTGTATCAGTGGAATAAGATTATGATTTTTCTTGTTGCCATGGCAACGGGTTTCTGACAGGCATTTTTTGCCAAATTTAATTATTTCCATTTAAACAACAGAATTTTATGGGTTTTATGTCAAGTTACACATTGTTTCTAACATTAATAACATCACATATAATTATATGTAAATTTTATCATTAAAAATGCATAATTTATGCTAATTTGATGACGTCATTGGCCAAAATCCAAGATGGCGGACCATATCATTAGATCAGGTAAATGCAGCTTATTTTCCTTAATAAACTTCATCAATACTCCCATTTTTTTTACAAAAAGGTTCATATGAACGTCTTTAGTCTGTTAACAATGTATTTTAGGCTTCATCCTGAAAAAAAACTAATTTT